GGGGGAGGCGCCTCCCCTCCCCAGACCCCCCATTAAAGCGGGTGCAGTCTCTCTTGGTGGGTGGAAGACGGCAGGTGCTGTGTTCACATGCGACGCTCCTTTCTGTAGCTTTCGGCTCACTACTGGGGATCTTTTCTTGTAGACTGGGGGCCCCACCACCGCCTTTGTGCTGCTCCCCGCCTTTGTGTTGAGTTGAAAGCTCGGCCTCACACCCGCCGAGGGGGCCTGCCGTCCACTGGACGGGTGCTGACCACGCTTTCACCAGGGGAGGCCCCCCGCTGGGTGCCCTGGGCGCTCACCGCTCCCCCGGTGCCCTGGGCGCTCGCTGCCCTGGGTCTCCGGGGCCCCAGCTCTGCCCCCTTCCTGCGTCTTGGCGCACAGTTTCTTAGAGAGCCCAGGTGGGTCTTCTAAGCGAATTCCCCATAGGAGTTTCTGGATTATCTCTGCCGGCGTGGTGGTGTGGCTGTGCACGTAGGCTTGACCCTGGCTGAGTTGAAAGGCCGCAGTGATTTAGTGTGAATTATCCGTCAGTTTGAAGCGTCTGTGTCCTGGTTCTCAGCGCTGGGAGTGTCCAGGGTGACCACGGCAGGTTGTGAGGTGTGCGTCCGTCCTTGGTCCCGCGTCAGGCCGGCGTCTCGGTGCGTGCTGGAGGCCGGTTCTGTGGGCTTGGGATGGGCGGTGCCTCTGGGCAAGGACCTCCCGGGATGAAGCCTGTCCCTCCTCCAGAACTTCCTGTGGGAGCTCCGTTGCACGAAGCCCCTTCCAGCCCTTCTCAGGTGCAGCAGAGGTGTGTGTCGGGCTCTGAGCAGGACCAAAGGAAGTGTGCCCTGCGTCCCCCTGAAGGCGCACATCCTGGGCTTCCAGCCGGGGCGCGGAGCCCCGCGGAAGGGTGCAGACCTGGCCACCGGCTGCCGGGGAGCCAGCCGGCAAAGGCAGATGGGCAGAAACGGCCTTTTCCTGTGTGATTAAATGAAGAGTAGAGGTGATTGGAAGGGCTGTGTGAGTTCAGCGGAAACTTGTTCTGCCTTGAATAGGTGTGCGGACGCTCCCCCGGCTTTGTGGTCAGCTCCCGGGGCTGGCCGCTCTGGGGGTGGCCTTGGTGAGGGCAGGGCTGTGCCTCAGTCTCCCCAAACAGGTGACCTTCCAGCAGTGACGTAACGGCTGCGTCCCTCCGGTTGGAAGGACGCTAGGTGGGAAGTCCCAGTCGCAGGAGCAGGGTCCGCTGGCCCCTGGAGCAGGACGAGGGAGTGGGGCTCGGGCTGGGCTGCCAGCTGAAGGCCCTGTTGCCATGGGTCCCGGGGTGGCGGCGCTGCCGGGGGACCCCGGGAGCAGGGGTTTGCAGGAAGAGCAGAAGGTGCTGCCGCTTTCTGAAATCGCGGGGTTTTGTCAGTTTTACCCCCAGGGCCCTACCAGGTTTTGTTTCTGAGTGGGGAGGCCCAGCTGACTTAGGAGCCGCTCGAATCCTCACACGGGCGAGGGACGGACTTGGCTCCTGCTGAACCCCTGCCTGTGGCGGGTGGTGGCGGAGCGCGGCCGGCGGGCTCTGAGGGCTGCCGAGTCAACCTCTTTTCTTGTTTCCTTTGAAATCAAGTCATGAGGCCTTCAAAGGAGTGTCTGGGTGAAGTCACCAAAGAGTTAAAGACGTGGGTTTTGCCTAAACGTGGCGCATTGTGAGAAAGCACCGCCTGGTTCTGCTGGACGGTGGGCCGCGTGCCTGGCTCCCGCAGCCTGACAGCCTCTGCTCCGGGTGGTGGAGCCGTGGCCGCTGCACGGCGGTCCTGTCGGTTTGCAGGAAGGAAGCTGCGGTTTTGCTTGCTTGCTTCTCTTCCCAGAAGCACCTGTGATTTCTTTGGGCTGGAATCTCGGCTGCGTTTGTCTGGGAGGTTAGTGACATGGCCCGGCCGCCCTGGTGGTGGCGCAGCAGCAGGTCTGTCCGGGTTTGCACTGACTCCCCCTGAGATTTGTGTGACGCGTGTGGCTGGGGGCCCGCCATGTCCCCAGACACTCCGTTCCCCCCCGACTTGAGGCCTCGGGTACCAGTGCAGGTCGTGCGCAGGGCTCACGCGCGTCACCCTGGGGTAGTTTCCACCACACGCTGACCTTCCAGAAGGTGGAGGTTTCCTGCTGACAGCCGGCTCTCAGGATAAGCGGCACTGCTCTTCGTAGCTCAGATCCGAGGACTGTCCTTGGTGACGGGAGGCACTGCCACCTGGAGGCTGCTCCCTGGACCGCAGCGGTCCCTGAAGCGGGGAGGGGCAGAGGAGAGGTGGTTTCCACACTGGTGCCTGCCTTCGGGTCTGTAGCCGGGCCGGTCGGTGTCCCCCGGGCGCCCCAGACGCACAGGACTGGCACCTGCCCGGTGGGACGTACCCTGGAATCCTGTCATTTATGCTGAATTCCTTTAGTTTGTCCGCGGTTATTTTTCTGTGTCTTAAAATTGAAGGTGTCTTGTTGCAGATGTGGCGTTTAAATAAGAAATTTGAGTGAGGAATTGACTCCCACCGCCTTGTGCTGTGACAGCAGGCGGTCTCCCCGGAGGCGCCGTGGCTGGGAGGACGGCTGAGCCCCAGCTCTGCCCTCTGCGTCCCCAGAGCTTCCAGGTCCCTTCTGGGTCAGGTGGTAGGATTTCATGACCAGAGACAGGTGTGGGGCCCAGGTGGGAGGAGGGAGCACGTCACCGGGCCTGCCAGTGCCTCCGTGGGGCCTGGCCTGGCCCAGGGGCAGCCCAGTCGCAGGGACAGGGACCTCGGGAGTCTGTGGATGCTGGTACGTTGGCAGGTGCTGCTCTTCTTGTTGGCTTGTTGTGCATGTAGCTGAGCCCGGTGGGGGAAGAGAGGCCATCGTCCTCTCCCTCTCGTGAGCCAGACCCTTTGTCGGGGCCACTTCCCTAAGCCCATGGCCTTGACGGCTCCTGATGGGCGGATGGCCTCCGTGCTGCTGGGGAGGTGGGCAGGACATGCAGGCCTCACGGAGCCCTCGGGACACGTCAGCCGGGGCCGCGGCAAGCACGTGTGTGTGAGGTTTGAGTCGGTGGGAAGGCTGGCGGGCGGGGGCACCTGCAGCCCTGCGGTATCCAAGGCACGTGCGTCTCCCTTGACCCCATGGGTCACAGGCGTCGCGGGCCGTTATGGATTGGCTGGAGGCGCCCACCTGACCGCCACCAGGCCCAGCCCGCCGGGGACTGCCGTTCTGTGAGGACCGGAGGCCCCGGCATGGATGCGTGAGGGTCCTGCCCTCCGTGTGTGTCTGCTCCAGAGGGGCGCCATCAAGTTTAAAATCCTGGCAGTGCCTTCAGGCAATCTTTCCAGCAGGCTTGGGGCCCGTGTGTGTTAAGTGCAGTGGTCCAGGCCGGGTCCAGGCAGGCCACCCCGTGGATCTTTTGTGACCCAAGGTCAGCATTGCGCTTCCCTGCGTCCCAGCCCTCGTGTGGATGGCTGGCTCCGGGACAGAACCACTGGAGGGCGAGCGGGTCACGCTGGCTCCTTTGTCCGTGGGCTCCAGGCAGGCACATGACATGGGGGACGAAAGGCCTCAGCCACGTCGAGCCCGGAGCCCGCGGCCGGGCCGCGGGGGTGGCGGGCAGGGGCGGCTCTGCGGGGCTGTGGCGCTCTTTGGGTTGTGTTGAAGCTCTGCGTGAGTCTCCGTTTTCCCTGAGCTTCGGTGCGGACCAGGTGGAAGGGGGCGTGACCGGTGTGTCTTCTGACCTGGGGGGTGTTTGCCTCTCGGTGGGGAAGCAGCTGCTCCTGCCCAGTGTTTCACACGCCTGTTTCCTTAGGATTCAGAGAAGGTGGCAAGAGGAAGAAGCAGAAGCAGAAGGAGGAGTCGAAGAAGAAGAAGTCGACCAAAGGGCACCTCTAGACGGGCCGCTCCGTGGCCGTGCGCGCGCGTTAGGTAGTGGCACCTGCTTCTCCACGTCCCGAGACCACACCTGCTCACGGCGCGGGGGACGCGCTGGCCGACCCGTGGGGCTGGCAGAGGCGGGGAGGGGCCTACGGGTGGCGGTGGTGGGACGCGGAGCCACCCGGGCCGTCCCTGCCTCTCCTCCCCGGCTCTGCGCCGGGGGCGCCTCCCCGCTCCCCCGGCGCGCAGTGCCAAGACGCTTGTAGCTTTAGCTGTGTGCCCAGGACGGACGGCGTGTGCGTGTTCGTGGAGCGACCTCCTCTCCTGCTGGCCGCAGCGCTTGACTCTAGACTCCAGTGCAGCGTAGGGAATGTAGAGGTGCCTCCTGAACATGGGCGGCCGTTCCTTGGTTTCAGGAGCCAGACCCTCACGGTGGCCCCTGGCCGGTCACGTCAGGCGTGTGGTCATCCTCGTGTTTGTGGTTTTAATTTTAATCCTCTCCAGGGGGTCCAGATGCAGCTGGAGTTATCCCACGTCTCTTGGACCCATAGCTGTTCTGGGCGTGTGCACGGGGTTCTACAGAGTTCGGTCTGGCCACACCACCCTGGCTCTCAGCTCCGGTCCTGCTGGAGGTTCGACAAACTCCCTGCACCTGGGTAGCTGTGCTCAGCCAGTGCCGGCTCCTCGGGGCCACTGCGCCCTGGACAGCTTCCCGCGGTTACTTCTCTGCGGGACGTGCCTCCTCCCCTCCCTCCCGCCAGGGCGACTGGACCCCGTGCTGCCCCCCTCCCCGCCCGCCTGCCACCTGCGGTCAGGCCCCCGGGGTCCCCCTCCCTTTGCTCTCAGACACTGGCAGCTTTTTTAAGTGGTGGCAGCTTTGACCCTGCAGTGTTGGAACTGGGCACCTGGGGCACGGCCCTCGCGGCAGCACCGCGGGCGTGGAAGCCAGGAACGAGCGTGCCCTGTGTTTGAAGGCCGGGTGGTGGCAGGAGGCGGTGCGGACTCGGGGGAAGAGTGGACAGGGTTTAATGCTTGGTGTGGAAAACGCAACCATGGAAGCATCGTGGGTTTTCAGTGCCCCCCGCGTCAATAAAGTGCAAGCGCATTGACTCACGCTCCCTTGCCGTCATTTGCAGACGCCAGGAGGCTGCAGTTACTAGTGGGCAGAGGAACGGCTTCTTCTCCGTCGTTTCAGTGAGAGACACAGTGACGTTTTGGGGGCTAAAGGCTGGAGCTGAGGTGCGTTCCTGGAGGGTGGAGACGTCGTCGTTCTAAAGCTGCCCTTCCCACTGCGCGTTCGTTGTGGGAGACCAGCAGCCTGACGGTCACCAGCGGGAAGCACGGGGGATGAGAGGCGTCCCTCAGGCCCCGTCCCGGATGTGCTGGACTCGGGCCCGGCGAGACAAGGCCACGTCCGCGGCCACAAGGGGAAGGTCCCTCAGGACTTAGAGCCCCCTGTCAGTTGCTCACAGCCTAGAACTTCCCTGTGTGGGACCAGGGAGGGAGGTGACCCCATGTGGGAAAATGTCGCCATCCTCGAGGCTGGTCACCTGGGACAGGACAGTGTCAGGGATGCTGTTAGAGCCCCCAGGGTCGTCTGGGCCCCCACGCCTTCACATGCCCCCGCGGTGGGGCAGCTCCTGAGTGAGTGGGAGAGGCCCCTGGTCACAGGTGAGGAGAGGGGCAGAGGTAGCGGTGGGCGGTCTGTCCACCGGCCCTGCCTCCTGCTGGAGAGTCTGCTCCATGGACCACGTGTTGGGGCCGGGGGGTGGGGGGCTGGCCTGAGCGGGCCCGCAGCCCTGCGCAGGCTCTCGGGGGGTCTGGGTGACGCAGAGAGGAGGGGGCCTTCTGCGTTGCCTTGTGATCTTCCCCGGGGTCCTTCCTGGGGGTGCTGGGCAAGCACCGAGGGGGTGGAGGACGGGGTGGGGGCGGCAGGATCAGGGCCCAGCCTCCAGCCGCAGCTCCTTCCCCCAGGAGGCCCTTCGGGGACGAGCCTGCTGGGCTGCAGGGAGCCGCCCCTCAGTCCCTCATCCCTCCCCTGAGGCTGGTTAGGGGCTTCAGAACTCACTGAAGCAAATACTTTGAAACGTCCTTCTAGAGATGCTTGTACTTTCACAGGAAATCCTGCCGCGTGCCAGGTGAGTGCCGCCCCAGCCCCCAGGGGTGGGTAGCACGAGAACCAGGAAAGTGACGTGGCACCATCCACAGGGACACTGCCGGACTGTTGCTGGAGCCTTAAAAAAGTGGGACCGTGGCAGTGGAAACCACACCTGACTGATTTGTTTATTTTTTACCTTTGAAAGTTGTTTGGCAGTGGGGAGACCGCGGACTCACCAGGCCTGGAACCCAGTTTGCGTCTCCGCCCTCGCTGGTGGTCCTGGTCTCCCTGACGGCTTCAGGGGCGGTTTCTGCCCGAAGCTGGAGCCGAGACCTCCAAGGGCGCCCACGGCCCCTTCCCCACTTCCTCACCATCTGGTCCTGCCGCCCAGAGACCGTCCTCTTGGGGGTCATTTGGCCTCAGGTTGATCAGGTTGATGTGTGGGCTCGGGGGTCGTCACCCACCTGGGACGGCCCCTCCTGGTGCTCCTTGGTCCTCACGGGCGCCCCGTGACTGCTCTGCATTCTCCCCTGGAATTCGGCGAAGGCGAATTTTTCCAGGTCCTCTCTGGATCCCTGAAGTACAGATTGTACAGAGAAAGCCTGATAGATGGCGTCCGCCCTGGTTCCCGGTCCTCAGAACGACCAGTCTTCTCTCTGGCCGCCTCTGTGACACCAGGGTGACCAGTCACTTTCGTTACTCACCACCAACCCCCAGGCTAGAAGCCCTTTCCTGTGTTCTGTCTGTTGCAGCCCCAGCCCGGGGCCCCCGGGGGCTCACGTCCTGTCGGTCCATGGGAGACAATGTTGGTGATCGTAATGAGCACACATTTCACCAAGGGTCATTCCAGGACTCGGGTGGTTCTGGGTGCTGAGCTGGGCCTGGTGCGCACATGTGACACAGACGGAGACGTGGCATGGAGCCCTGGCCCATGACAGCCTCCCTCAGGAGGGCACGTGGGCCCCAGAAGTGACCGCCACGGCGGGGGTGTCTGTGCCATGACGGGGGGGTCCGTTTGTTATCAAACCTTGAAGTCCTTTGGGAAGAACCCGCGGGCGGTACTAGGAGGGTAAGAAGGCAGCACAGCCCCCCCGAGTCCCCGTGCCCCCCAGTCCCTGAGGAAGCCAGGCGCGAGGAACCGCAGGTCTGACCTCAAAGGACCAGCAGAGGCCAGGTGGCCCCAGGACTCCTCCCTCCCCCGGTGCCCCTGTGCCCCTCAGCCCCTTCCCCGCCCACTGGCCTAGTGGAGGAGGGGCCGCTGGGCGTGGATAGGGCCACCGTCACCCGCCCTCACCCAGCACACACTCGGTGTGTCCAGTGTGAGCCAGGTGGGCTCGTGGGGGCACCACTGAGCGAGCGGCAGCCCTGGCCTCCAGACCAGACAGACGTGCCATCCACAGGCAAGGTGACCCCCCTGTCCTGCCTCGTCAGGCCCTGGCCCAGGGCTCGACATTGGTGTGGAAGGAGGGCGGGCAGGGGGTCCAGGCGAGAGGAACCCGTGGGAGGGGGCCGGGCCGCTTCCAGGGCAACCAGGGCTTGGTGCTCTGCCCGCAGGGCGGGCCTGGCCTGGACTTGGGCAGCCTGAGGAGAGGCGGCTGAGCTGCCTTCCTGCCGCCCCCGTGCGGCTTGTACTCTGGTGGCCCTGGTGGATGGGCCGCGCTGGGTCTGCCCATCTGAGGACCACGTCCATCCTGGTCCGCCCCGTGAGCGCCCCTCCCAGTGTCGGAGAACCAGGGTGAATGGGCACCAGGGCAGGTCCCTGGAGCTCAGGCCTGAGTTTGGACATGGAGCAGCAGGAGCCAAGGGGGGTCTTCCAGATGCTCACACGCTCCCAGGAGATGGTCGCTCCTTCAGGACCAGTGACGTCTGTCTGGCAGCCTCGAGGGTCACCCGTGGCCTGACTGACCACTGACTCCAGGCAGGTCCCCCTTGGCTCTGGGTGTCCCTCTGCTTGGCCCTCATCCCCAGGACCCAGCCTCTGGCAGCAGCCGGCCAGCAGCCTGTGAGAGGCCTCCCACCCTCGTCCCCTGGGGGTGTCACCCAGGAGGGGGTCAGGAGGAGAACCCGGGATTCAGGGCCATCTGGACGACCTCCGGGCGGAACAGGCGAGGGGAGAAGCAGCGCTGGGTGTAGGACCACCCAGGCCGCAGGCGCCCCCCTGCTCCTTGCCACTGCTGCGTCCGGCCCCCCAAGACCCCGTGCCCTCCGCAGGGAGAGGGTCCCGCCCCGAGCCTGGGAGGAGCTCGCAGAGGCCGTCCAGCCGAGGGCCTGCGGTCTGGCCCGGCGTCCTGTAGGGGGAGCCCGCGGGGCGCGGCCACCGCCCCGGGCGCATCCCTGTCCCGCGGGCCCTGCTCGCGCAGGCGCGGAGAGCGCAGTTTCGGTGCCGTGATCCGGCAGCTTCCCAACTCTTAAAACCCCGCGCCGGTATTTTCTGAAAGCTCCGCGCATCCGCGCAGCTTGGAGGGGGTTTTTCTTTGTCCAGGGCCCCGTCTGTGTGGGAAGTTGCTCTTTTGTGGCGCAATATTTTCCGTGGCCACAGGAGGGCGCCTCCACAAAGGAAAACAGGACTGTGGGCAGGAGCCCCGCCCCGCCCGCGCACGCGTGCACACACGCCCGCGAGTAAACCAGCCCCAGCTCCAAACGAGGCTGAAGCGAGTCGGAGGGGGGCGAACAGAGCAGTCCCGCAGTTCCGCTGGCAGAATAAAGGAGCTCCCCCGGGGTCCGGGGTTTCCTTGCCCAGCGTTTGCCGTGGAGCCTCGCGTCAGAAACGGCCCGTCAGGAGTCACCGGAACACAGCCTTGAAGGTGAAGCCAGGCTCTGCCGGACGTCCTGGGTGTTGTCCCCGCACGCCCGCACCCAAAGCAATTTCACATGTTTTGCTCAAGTAACATCTGACAGCTGGTAATCGGTAGGTTCCTGGGCTAATAGAGACGAGTGAAATCTGCTGTTGCCATTTCTAGCAATTTCTGGCCGAAACGGCCCCATGGCCTCCTGAACCCTGCCCTGGTCCCCCAGCAGGAGGTGACAGGAGGTGACAGGAGGAGACGCCTGCCCAGACCCGCGCGGCCTGGTCGTCCCGGCTGCCCGGGCCTCGTCCTGGGAGCAGGAGCCCGGTCGTCTCGGGAGCAAGGGGGAGGCCTTGCTTCTCCGAGCTTGACGAAGCCCGTCTTGGAATTGTTTCTGACGCTCTTAGAGTGAACATGCGTCTGTCTCATTAATCCAGATTTTCACGATGAGTTGCTTCTCCAAGGTGCAGTTTGACATCCCGGTAAATGATGTAGATCTTCCTTTTCCCCTCGGTTCTTCTGCGTCTCCTCACCTGAGAGCACGTGTGTCTCACTCCTGACACTAACTTCAGAGAGGGCGACCTCTAGTGTCCCCCACTGTCCTTCACTCCCCACCAAATTGTTACTGAAGCCAAGGTTAGAAAAACTCAAGCTGACGGAATAAATAAAATAAAAGGGAAAGAAGGCAGTGGCCAAACCTGGAACCACCCCACTCCTGCCGACAGTGGAGGGAGAAGTCACGGCCCCTCACCCTCATTTCCCGTTTACAACGTGCAGGTGGACTTCGAAATGCGCGACATGCTCCGACGTGCCGGCCGCAGCCCCTTCTTCAAAACAACACCCCAACTCCAGGCTCAGACGGGAACGCAGACCCGGGAAGACCCTGCGGTGTCCCCAGCCGGGCTCGGAGAAGACCCTCCCGGGTTAGGTCAGCTGCAGTTTGATGCAAATCAGTTGGCTATGTGACTCCCCGGTTAACATAAGCCTTCTACTTGAAGGGTTTATTGTGTGAATTGCAAATGCAGTATCTGAGAGTAGAGTGTGTCTTCAGGCGTCCTCCTGTGTGGTTGTCAGAACTTCGCTTCACCTGGGGGCTGGGAGGCATTCCGGACACCACGTCCCCAGCTGAGCCCCCAGTCAGACCGTTTATGGTCTAAAGGGTTGTAGAAGTCGCAGCGAGCCCTTCGTCCAGATTTCGGAGCCAGGAAGTACAGCAGGGGCCAGGAAGAA